GTACGTGGGCGTCAGGAATCGTCCCAGTGAGGAAGAAAGAGGCTCACTGCAGTGCCGTGTGGATTACCGCACCCTCAAAGACGTTGCGGTGAAGGACTCCTACTCCCCAGAAGTCCACGCACAGGCGGCAGGGGCCCCCAGGGGCGGTGGCAGCGCCAGGAGCCCTGCTACATGCAGCAGCGCCCCTAGGAGCCCTCACAGGGGTGGCGGCGCCTACACATGCCCTTCAGCCCTGTCCTCCTGCGGGACACACACACATGCATTAAAGCCCTGACCTCCTAGGGGACATGCCCTACAGCCCTGACCTCCTGCGGAGAGGGGGGGGGGACACACACATGCCCTACAGATCTACCACTGAGGACACACATGCCCTCAGCCTTGACTTGGGGGTGGACACAAACATGCCTTACAGCCCTGACTCCCCTGGGGACACACACACACACACATGCCCTATAGACCTGACTTCCTGGGGGATACACACATGCCCTACAGCCCTGACCTGGGGGACACATACAAACATGCCTTACAGCCTTGACCTCCTGGGACACACACACATGCCCTACAACCCTGACCTCCTGGGGGACATACACATGCCCTTACATGGAGGGACACACACATGTCCTACAGTTCTGACCTCCTGGGAGACACAAACACACACATGCCCTACATCCCTGACCTCCTGGGGTACACACACATGCCCTATAGTCCTGACCTCCTGGAGGACACGCATATACATGCCCTACAATCCTGATCTCCTGTAGGACAGACGCACACATGCCCTACAATCCTGTAAGGAGCTATGTGATATTAGAAAGTCTTGTAAGTAAAGGTATAAAATGGAAATTATTGATGTGGATTACAGATTACTTAACTAACAGAAAAGCTAGTATCTGGTTTCAAGGTCACGAATCGGAAGAAAAAGGTCTAGGGTTGGGTATCCCAGAAGGTGGCGTTCTTAGGCCTATGCTTTTTAATATTTTTATGGACAGAATAACTAGTTACAAATTGCAGGGCGAGTCCCAAGTAATCACTTATGCTGATGACATTGTGATCCAATGTAAGAATGAGGAAGATATATCCAGGATTATTGATGAGCTGCAGTATCTCTCTCTCTCTCTCTGAGACTGGTCATTAATGAAAATAAAACCAAATATCAGTAAATGGAAAAGAATTTTGGCTAAATGGAATAAAATTGCAAAAAGTATCCAGTTACAAATATCTGGAAATGCTTGTGAGTGTTAATGACAATGCTAAGGATCAAATTACTTATATAAAAACTATAGTACAGCTAGGCTAAAACCTCTGGAAGTCTTGTCATACAGAGGAAATGGTGTTGGCATACCAGTTTTAAGATCAATGTACTTAAGTACAGTTAAGAGTATCATTGATTATTCAGCTCCAGTTCTAACTTCTTATTCAGGAAAAGATCTTAGGCCATTAGAGCTTATTCAGAGTAAAGCAATGATGATTGTGCTTGGTTGTCCAAATACAACAAGAATAGAGATTATGAGGATGGAGCTAAATGTCCCGTGCATAATATAGGCTACATAATTAGGGAGTTGACTGTTATTTCTACTCTATAGGGTTTATTAGTCTACTGTTGATAAATTTACTAATATAATTACTATTAATTTTAAGATGAATACGTATACTAAAAAACTTTGTCAGATGTTGTGTGAATGTAATATTGTAGATTTTTGTGTACCTTTGCCAAACAATGTTTATTTGAAACCATGGTTCATGGAGAGTGTATCTGTAAGAATGGATAAGCTAGAGGTAAAAAAAAAAGATTGTAATCCTTATGAGTTACGGCAAATATTCCTTGAGAAAATATCTGAGTACCATAAGGGAAATGTTATTCATATGTACTGTGACGGTTCAGTTAATGGGAATCGGACCGGATGTGGCATTGTTATAAGGGAAATTTTTGAATGTGGTGTTAGTGTTACGAAAGAATATGCAAGAGAATTGGGGATAGAAGTTCCAGTACCACTGGTGAACTTTAATAATTAACGGTTTATTGAAAAAGTTCTGCAGCCCGAAGGCTGATAATATACATTGGACATAAATGACTTATTACATACATTGGTGGTTTAACACAAGCCTTCATTAGAGAAAGGTAAAAGAACATACAGATTAATGTAGGTGTTGAACAGCAAACACGGAGTGTAGTAACTCCCTCCCAGATGGTGTTAGGGGGGACCTGACATGATGTAGTAGTTCCCTCAGATGGTGTTATGAGGGGCCTCACGTGGTGTAGTAATTCCCTCACAGATGGTGTTATGAGGGACCTCACGTGGTGTAGTAATTACCACACAGATGGTGTTATGAGGGGCCTCACGTGGTGTAGTAACTCCCTCACAGATGGTGTTATGAGGGACTTGACGTGGTGAAGTAATTCCCTCACAGATGGTGTTATGAGGGACATGTGTAGTAATTCCCTCACAGATGGTGTTATATGAGTGAGGTGTGGTCCCAGGCCTTCCTATCGTAGACGGATTAACACATCGTTGGTTGTTGTTGGGTCTCACGGGCCGTTATCACTGGTTACCTGGGACCTCACTGTGTGAAGGTTAACTTGGGTACGACTGTTACTGTTGAGTTGTTCTCACTGACTTAAGCACTGTTCACCTCTGTTTAACACTGGTTCCGTTCCTTTCCTAAATGAAATTGTAACTTCTGGCGAGAACTTGTTGATATTCCTGTGGGGAGGAGGGTTCAGGGGAGGAGGTTGGTATGGGCCAACTTAACAGTTGACCTGGTTGCTCCGAGAGGAGCGCCAGGTACGTCTTGACCCTTCGGTGGTCAAGGATGCTATATATGTAGGACAAAAAACAGTTTTGGGTTTGTTGACAGCCAAAGCGCTCTATGTGCTGATGATTTGGCGAAGCAAGGGTGTGGCAAATAAATTGTAGAATATGATTGTATTTTGAGTATTAAAAGAATAAAATTTGGAATGGTAAAAATCCGACAGCAATGGGAAATGGACAATATTCGGAAAATTTTGATTATAGATTGTAGATTTTATGCATATCTATTTGTTGTATACATATCTGTTTTATGATTACGTACAATATTAAAGAGCTCTTGTTAAGAGTAGTTTTGGGCGGGCTAGTTAGCATACTAACCAGCTCCTTTTGAATTTGTTTAAAACACGCCATTAATAAATTAATTTATCTATCTATTACGAATGCACGTAAACAAGCCAATTGCCTCATTATAGTAGTGGGTAAGTAATACGTCTGTATTTATCCCCCGAAAAGTTTTCCGAGTTAAATATTTATTGATTTTAAAATTATTATGTTAATATTAAAAAAAATAGTGAATTCGTATTAAAAATATTAAAATTGGAGGATTATTTAAGGATTTAATCAGTATTGTTTACAGGTAATGTTGGCAGCCATGGTGAGTCTACAGATCGGTAACGTTGGCTTCCCTGCTTAAACTTTGCTGTGTCCGAATCCTTGGAGGCAAGTAGACTTGAATATTCGTCTTTATAAATTTTTTTTTACGTAAATTCCATTTTTATCTCTTTGTTCTTTCTTATTTTATTTTAATAATATTATAAATGACTTAATTGACCTTAAATGTAAGTTAAAATTTGTATATACGATGAAGTTTGTATTATAGTTAATCATTCGGACGAAGTGGTGTGAGGTGGGAGGGAAGGAGGGGGGGTCCACGACGTTGTTGCTGTCACTTACTCGAATCAGTTATCTCTGGGACTCGCCTATACAAGGTTGTCCAATTTTTCTACTTCGGCCGTGGAAAGTGGTTGGTCACGGCCAAACTATTTGGTCGAATTTTGTGTTAATACCTCATCTAGTGGATTTTGAAGACATGTCTAACAGATTTTCAAATTTCTCAATTGAAAGGTGACTGTCCTTACTAGTTACTGCCTTAGTTGTTAGTTCTCATATTTGAGTTGTTCAGGCTGAACGTGTCCAGCATATGGGTTAAGCTTTATAGCAGTGGTTCTCAACCTTGTTTGCCCCATGCACTCTTTTCACCATATGTCAGAATGTCATTCCCCCCTCCTTTCCAAGATTGTCTGCCTCAAAAAGTGCATTCCAAATAATATGCATATAATACTGAAAATCCTTTATTATTTCCATATTAGTATCAGTTCCCCCCCCCCCCTGAAACCCTGAGGGGGTAAATTCCCCCCTGGTTGAGAACCCCTGCGTTATAGTTTACAAAGCCATCTGAGTTACTTTCTGAAATTCTGAGTGATAGTTTTCAAAATGTCCACTAGTTTTTGCAAAGTGTCCTACGACAGTGGTAGAAAATATAACAAATTATGGGAAGAAAAATTCGTCTGTGTTAGTATAGCCAGTGATGGAAGTGAAAATGCTCCAGTGCCAAGGAAAATGTTGCAGAGATTTGAAAGTAACACCACACATGGTGGAGCTATTTAACTCTGTAATCATGTACGAGAAGGAAGAACCAGGGGACGGTGACGAACTGGACTCCACCATTATCATGCTCCACCACCATTTGAGTTTACGGTAAGTCTTCACTGTGGATTAGAGATATTATGTTTATGTAATTATTGGGCCCTGAATTATAAGTGAAAAATTTGTTTTGTTGCGACATTTTAAGTGCATATTGTGGGGGAGATTTTTATTTTGTGTGGATTGCAAAAATAGCTTTGTGCTTTCCATCCAAAAAGATTTGGCCGTGAAGCTTGTCGTACATGTGGCAACCCTGTTCCTATGCGGTATGTGTTAATTGTGGTTAATTTCATGTTCACGAAGATTTAATGTTAAATATTTTAAGTGTTTATTCGGACGTACTTCACAAGATTTGGTATATATTTTGGCTATAGAGACGTACTATAGATGTGTGTTCTTATTTTATTGCATTACAGTTGTACAAAGACTACATTACTTAATTTTTAGTTACAATATTATTCATTCGAGGACCGTGAAGATGAGTACACAAGACTGTTAGTTTCCGTTAACGGAACTGTTGTTGCACAAAATCGGAAACATTCTGCTATAACTTAAAGTACAGTACTGTAGCTGTCGTTGTGGTTTCTTAGTTTTGTTTAAGGATTTGTTCACCTTTAAAAAAACAGAGTGTTAACTTATTTTGAAATAATTAGATATTTAAAGTATGCTTTGCTTGTAGGTTTCAAAAAGCCTTTATAGATACAGGGTATTCTTAAATATGTAGACCATCTTTACGTTACGAAGAAGTTAGTTTTCACGTTGTCAAAATAATGATTTTTCCAAAAAAAAGCTTGACCTAAATCCCTTAGTCTCCAGCATTTGTAAGAAAGTAGTTTAAATTTCATACTAAGGTACTTTACACGATTTTAAATCTTGGTAATTGTGTTAATATGAGGGCAACTGGTGAACTCTTTTAATGCTGGCTGACTGGCTTTTCCTCTAGTCTTCCTACGCTGCCAGACATACCATGCAATGCCTGCCTCGGCCCCAGCTTGCTGGCGCGGAGGGGTTCGAGACACTTGCAATATCACTTCCCGTCGGCCACCTCGAGCTCAGTGCGAGTGTATATACGTTTTAAAAATACAATACTGGAAAAGGCAGGTACTGTACCAACAAATGGCGTATTTTTGGGGGGGAGGGGGTTCAGTTCAATTTAAATATAGTATTTTGCCATTAATTTTGTGCTAAATTAATGCTGTACTGTATAATAGGTAAATGATTAAACTTGAACAGGAACTATTGTGTACCGATCATAGTTAATGTTAGTGATCAAATATTACAGGTTATACCTACTAATTGTGCTGCGAGTGTTGTTCTCTGAATTGTTGTTATACAAGTTGATTTGTCTTGATATAAGTGGATATTTGGACTTGATATAAGTATAATTTGTCTATAAAGGTTGACGGTTTAATGACTTATTTCAGATTTGAGTGGGAGGTGGATGACCTTTGTAGGATATTTGACCTTGGCTGAAGCTTGCTGGCGCGGAGGGGTTCGAGACACTTGCAATATCACTTCCCGTCGGCCACCTCGAGCTCAGTGCGAGTGTATATATGTTTTAAAAATACAATACTGGAAAAGGCAGGTACTGTACCAACAAATGGCGTATTTTTTGGGGGGAGGGGGTTCAGTTCAACTTAAATATAGTATTTTGCCATTAATTTTGTGCTAAATTAATGCTGTACTGTATAATAGGTAAATGATTAAACTTGAACAGTAACTATTGTGTACCGATCATAGTTAATGTTAGTGATCAAATATTACAGGTTATACCTACTAATTGTGCTGCGAGTGTTGTTCTCTGAATTGTTGTTATACAAGTTGATTTGTCTTGATATAAGTGGATATTTGAACTTGATATAAGTATAATTTGTCTATAAAGGTTGACGGTTTAATGACTTATTTCAGATTTGAGTGGGAGGTGGATGACCTTTGTAGGATATTTGACCTTGGCTGAAGCTTGCTGGCGCGGAGGGGTTCGAGACACTTGCAATATCACTTCCCGTCGGCCACCTCGAGCTCAGTGCGAGTGTACAGTATATACGTTTTAAAAATACAATACTGGAAAAGGCAGGAAACTGTACCAACAAATGGGGTATTTTTAGGGGGGAGGGGGTTCAGTTCAACTTAAATATAGTATTTTTCCAGTAATATTGTGCTAAATTAATGCTGTACTGTATAATAGGTAAATGATTTAACTTGAACAGTAACTATTGTGTACCGATCATAGTTAATGTTAGTGATCAAATATTACAGGTTATACCCCACAATTGTGCTGTGAGGTTGTTCTCTGAATTGTTGTTATACAAGTTGATTTGTTCTGATATAAGTGGATATTTGGACTTGATATAAGTATAATTTGTCTATAAAGGTTGACGGTTTAATGACTTATTTCAGATTTGAGTGGGAGGTGGATGACCTTTGTAGGGTATTTGACCTTGGCTGAAGCCTTTATATACAATATACAGGTGAGCATAAATTAAATAACCATAGTTAAAAAGAAATAGTTTTATTGGTGAATACTGTGAGGTTCCCTCTGCTGTTAAGCCATTATTTACATCTTCGTCCAATTTGCCGTAAGTTTGTGATAATTTTGTTTGTTTTTCAGTAATATTAGGAACGTAATGTTTGTGTTTAGTATACTACTGCTCGTCTCAGACTTGCTAGCTAGTCACCTACGCCTACGGCGCATTAGACGAAGGGTAATTTGCGATACATTTTTGGGGAAAAAAGAAAGTCTTGTACAAGGGCAAATTTTAATAATTTTTCTATAAATGTTGACGTGTTTATTTTTTATTTCAGAAGTGTGTGGGAGGTGGAAGAGCATTCTTGGCTATTTGACATTGGCTGAAGTCTTATAAAGGTGAGCATAACTATTGTTGTACAATGTTCCTGACTTGCATAACCTGTTGGAAGAGAATTATGAGCAAAATTTGTTGTATTCATAAGTTTCAAGAATGGATATTTAATTATTATAGAAAGAGTGGCTCATGTAAGGTTAGATTTTATACTACTACTGTGGTAAGGCTACATGAATAGTAGTTTAGGCAAAGTAATTATATCTAATGTAGAAGCCAAAGTGTGTATAGTTTAATATGTTACGATGTATTACAGTGAAGAAGAAGACGAAGAAGAAGGAGGGGGGGTCCACGACGTTGTTGCTGTCAGTTACTCGAATCAGTTATCTCTGGGACTCGCAAAGACTAGTTGTCAAATTTTTCTACTTCGGCCGTGGAAAGTGGTTGGTGACGGCCAAACTATTTGGCCGAATTTTGTGTTAATACCTCATCTAGTGGATTTTGAAGACATGTCTAACAGATTTTCAAATTTCTCAATTGAAACGTGTCCAGCATATGGGTTAAGCTTTATAGCAGTGGTTCTCAACCTTGTTTGCCCCATGCACTCTTTTCACCATATGTCAGAATGTCATTCCCCCCTCCTTTCCATGATTGTCTGCCTCAAAAAGTGCATTCCAAATAATATGCATATAATACTGAAAATCCTTTATTATTTCCATATTAGTATCAGTTTTCCCTCGTCTCTGAAAACCTGAGGGGGGAAATTCCCCCTGGTTGAGAACCCCTGCTTTATAGTTTACAAAGCCATCTGAGTTACTTTCTGAAATTCTGATTGATAGTTTTCAAAATGATTAGTTTTTGCAAAGTGTCTTACGACAGTGGTAGAAAATATAACAAATTATGGGAAGAAAAATTCGTCTGTGTTAGTATAGCCCGTGATGGAAGTGAAAATGCTCCAGTTCCAAGGAAAATGTTGCAGATTTGAAAGTAACACCACACATGGTGGAGCTATTTAACTCTGCAATCACGTACGAGAAGGAAGAACCAGGGGACGGTGACGAACTGGACTCCACCATTATCATGCTCCACCACCATTTGAGTTTATGGTTAATCTTCACTGTAGATTACAGATATTATGTTTATGTAATTATTGGGCTCTGAATTATAAGTGAAAATTTTGTTTGATTGCGACATTTTAAGTGCATATTGTGGGGGAGATTTTTATTTTGTGTGGATTGCAAAAATATCTTTGTGCTTTCCATCCAAAAAGATTTGGCAGTGAAGCTTGTCGTACATGTGGCAACCCTGTTCCTATGCGGTATGTGTTAATTGTGGTTAATTTCATGTTCACGAAGATTTAATGTTAAATATTTTAAGTGTTTATTCGTACGTACTTCACAAGATTTGGTATATATTTTGGCTATAGAGACGTACTATAGATGTGTGTTCTTATTTTATTGCATTACAGTTGTACAAAGACTACATTACTTAATTTTTAGTTACAATATTAGGCTATTCATTCGAGGATCGTGAAGATGAGTACACAAGACTGTTAGTTTCCGTTAACGGAACTGTTGTTGCACAAAATCGGAAACATTCTGCTATAACTTAAAGTACAGTACTGTAGCTGTCGTTGTGGTTTCTTAGTTTTGTTTAAGGATTTGTTCACCTTTAAAAAAAATAGAGTAATTGTTAACTTATTTTGAAATAATTAGATATTTAAAGTATGCTTTGTTTGTAGGTTTTCAAAAGCCTTTATAGATACAGGGTATTCTTAAATATGTAGACCATCACGTTGTCAAAATATTGATTTTTCAAAATAAGCTTTCTGACCTAAATCCCTTAGTCTCCCAGCATTTGTAAGAAAGTAGGCTTAAATTTCATACTAAGGTATTTCACATCGATTTGAATCTGGCAATTGTGTTAATATGAGGCTAACTGGTGAACTCTTTAATGCTGGCTGATCGATTCTTCTCGGCTCCCACGCTGCCAGATTGCTGGCCCATGCACGCCTGCCTCTCGCCCAGCTTGCTGGCGCGGAGGGGTTCGAGACACTTGCAATATCACTTCCCGTCGGCCACCTCGCGCTGTATATACGTTTTAAAAATACAATACTGGAAAAGGCAGGAAACTGTACCAACAAATGGGGTATTTTTAGGGGGGAGGGGGTTCAGTTCAACTTAAATATAGTATTTGCCAGTAATTTTGTAAGCAATTAATGCTGTACTGTATAATAGGTAAATGATTAAATTTGAACAGTAACTATTGTGTACCGATCATAGTTAATGTTAGTGATCAAATATTACAGGTTATACCTACTAATTGTGCTGTGAGGGTTGTTCTCTGAATTGTTGTTATACAAGTTGATTTGTTCTGATATAAGTGGATATTTGGACTTGATATAAGTATAATTGGTCTATAAAGGTTGACGGTTTAATGACTTATTTCAGATTTGAGTGGGAGGTGGATGACCTTTGTAGGGTATTTGACCTTGGCTGAAGCCTTTATATACAATATACAGGTGAGCATAAATTAAATTTACCATAGTTAAAAAGAAATAGTTTTATTGGTGAATACTGTGAGGTTCCCTCTGCTTTTAAGCCATTATTTACATCTTCGTCCAATTTGCCGTAAGTTTGTGATAATTTTGTTTGTTTTTCAGTAATATTAGGAACGTAATGTTTGTGCTTAGTAGACTACTGCTCGTCTCAGACTTGCTAGCTAGTCACCTACGCCTACGGCGCATTAGACGAAGGGTAATTTGCGATACATTTTTGGGGAAAAAAGAAAGTCTTGTACAAGGGTAAATTTTAATAATTTTTCTATAAATGTTGACGTTTTTATTTTTTATTTCAGAAGTGTGTGGGAGGTGGAAGAGCATTCTTGGCTATTTGACATTGGCTGAAGTCTTATAAAGGTGAGCATAACTATTGTTGTACAATGTTCCTGACTTGCATAACCTGTTGGAAGAGAATTATGAGCAAAATTTGTTGTATTCATAAGTTTCAAGAATGGATATTTAATTATTATAGAAAGTGTGGCTCATGTAAGGTTAGATTTTATACTACTACTGTGGTAAGGCTACATGAATAGTAGTTTAGGCAAAGTAATTATATCTAATGTAGCCATAAAGTGTGTGGTTTAAATATGTTACTTACGTATTACAGTGTAGAAGAAGAAGGAGGGGGGTCCACGACGTTGTTGCTGTCACTTACTCGAATCGGTTATCTCTGGGACTCGCTAAGACTAGTTGTCAAATTTTTCTACTTCGGCCGTGGAAAGTGGTTGGTCACGGCCAAACTATTTGGCCGAATTTTGTGTTAATACCTCATCTAGTGGATTTTGAAGACATGTCTAACAGATTTTCAAATTTCAATTGGAAACTGTCCAGCATATGGGTTAAGCTTTATAGCAGTGGTTCTCAACCTTGTTTGCCTCATGCACTCTTTTCACCATATGTCAGAATGTCATTCCCCCCTCCTTTCCAAGATTGTCTGCCTCAAAAATTGCATTCCAAATACAAAATTCACCTGGTTGAGAACCCCGTTTATAGTTTACAGCTGTTTGAGTACTTTCTGAAATTCTGATTGATAGTTTTCAAAATGATATGGTAAAGTGTCTTACGACAGTGGTAGAAAATATAACAAATTATGGGAAGAAAAATTCGTCTGTGTTAGTATAGCCCGTGATGGAAGTGAAAATGCTCCAGTTCCAAGGAAAATGTTGCAGATTTGAAAGTAACACCACACATGGTGGAGCTATTTAACTCTGCAATCACGTACGAGAAGGAAGAACCAGGGGACGGTGACGAACTGGACTCCACCATTATCATGCTCCACCACCATTTGAGTTTATGGTTAATCTTCACTGTAGATTACAGATATTATGTTTATGTAATTATTGGGCTCTGAATTATAAGTGAAAATTTTGTTTGATTGCGACATTTTAAGTGCATATTGTGGGGGAGATTTTTATTTTGTGTGGATTGCAAAAATATCTTTGTGCTTTCCATCCAAAAAGATTTGGCAGTGAAGCTTGTCGTACATGTGGCAACCCTGTTCCTATGCGGTATGTGTTAATTGTGGTTAATTTCATGTTCACGAAGATTTAATGTTAAATATTTTAAGTGTTTATTCGGACGTACTTCACAAGATTTGGTATATATTTTGGCTATAGAGACGTACTGTAGATGTGTGTTCTTATTTTATTGCATTACAGTTGTACAAAGACTACATTACTTAATTTTTAGTTACAATATTATTCATTCGAGGACCGTGAAGACGAGTACACGAGACTGTTAGTTTCCGTTAACGGAACTGTTGTTGCACAAAATCGGAAACATTCTGCTATAACTTATAGTAGGCCTACAGTACTGTAGCTGTCGTTGTGGTTTTAGTTTTGTTTAAGGATTTGTTCATCTTTAAAAAAAAAATAGAGTAATTGTTAACTTATTTTGAAATAATTACATATTTTAAGTATGCTTTGCTTGTAGGTTTTAAAAAGCCTTTATAGATACAGGGTATTCTTAAATATGTAGACCATCTTTACGATACGAAGAAGTTAGTTTTCACGTTGTCAAAATATTGATTTTTCCAAAAATAAGCTTGACCTAAATCCCTTAGTCTCCAGCATTTGTAAGAAAGTAGTTTAAATTTCATACTAAGGTACTTTACACGATTTTAAATCTTGGTAATTGTGTTAATATGAGGGCAACTGGTGAACTCTTTTAATGCTGGCTGACTGACTTTTCCTCTAGTCTTCCTACGCTGCCAGACATACCATGCAATGCCTGCCTCGGCCCCAGCTTGCTGGCACGGAGGGGTTCGAGACACTTGCAATATCACTTCCCGTCGGCCACCTCGCGCTCGGTGCGAGTGTATATACGTTTTAAAAATACAATACTGGAAAAGGCAGGAACTGTACCAACAAATGGGGTATTTTTAGGGGGGAGGGGGTTCAGTTCAACTTAAATATAGTATTTTGCCAGTAATTTTGTGCTAAATTAATGCTGTACTGTATAATAGGTAAATGATTAAATTTGAACAGTAACTATTGTGTACCGATCATAGTTAATGTTAGTGATCAAATATTACAGGTTATACCTACTAATTGTGCTGTGAGGGTTGTTCTCTGAATTGTTGTTATACAAGTTGATTTGTTCTGATATAAGTGGATATTTGGACTTGACATAAGTATAATTGGTCTATAAAGGTTGACGGTTTAATGACTTATTTCAGATTTGAGTGGGAGGTGGATGACCTTTGTAGGGTATTTGACCTTGGCTGAAGCCTTTATATACAATATACAGGTGAGCATAAATTAAATTTACCATAGTTAAAAAGAAATAGTTTTATTGGTGAATACTGTGAGGTTCCCTCTGCTTTTAAGCCATTATTTACATCTTCGTCCAATTTGCCGTAAGTTTGTGATAATTTTGTTTGTTTTTCAGTAATATTAGGAACGTAATGTTTGTGCTTAGTAGACTACTGCTCGTCTCAGACTTGCTAGCTAGTCACCTACGCGTACGGCGCATTAGACGAAGGGTAATTTGCGATACATTTTTGGGGAAAAAAGAAAGTCTTGTACAAGGGTAAATTTTAATAATTTTTCTATAAATGTTGACGTTTTTATTTTTTATTTCAGAAGTGTGTGGGAGGTGGAAGAGCATTCTTGGCTATTTGACATTGGCTGAAGTCTTATAAAGGTGAGCATAACTATTGTTGTACAATGTTCCTGACTTGCATAACCTGTTGGAAGAGAATTATGAGCAAAATTTGTTGTATTCATAAGTTTCAAGAATGGATATTTAATTATTATAGAAAGAGTGGCTCATGTAAGGTTAGATTTTATACTACTACTGTGGTAAGGCTACATGAATAGTAGTTTAGGCAAAGTAATTATATCTAATGTAGAAGCCAAAGTGTGTGTGGTTTAATATGTTACGATGTATTACAGTGTAGAAGAAGAAGGAGGGGGGTCCACGACGTTGTTGCTGTCACTTACTCGAATCAGTTATCTCTGGGACTCGCTAAGACTAGTTGTCAAATTTTTCTACTTCGGCCGTGGAAAGTGGTTGGTGACGGGCAAACTATTTGGCCGAATTTTGTGTTAATACCTCATCTAGTGGATTTTGAAGACATGTCTAACAGATTTTCAAATTTCTCAATTGAAACGTGTCCAGCATATGGGTTAAGCTTTATAGCAGTGGTTCTCAACCTTGTTTGCCCATGCACTCTTTTCACCATATGTCAGAATGTCATTCCCCCCTCCTTTCCAAGATTGTCTGCCTCAAAAATTGCATTCCAAATAATATGCATATAATACTGAAAATCCTTTATTATTTCCATATTAGTATCAGTTTTCCCCGTCTCTGAAAACCTGAGGGGGGAAATTCACCCTGGTTGAGAACCCCTGCTTTATAGTTTACAAAGCCATCTGAGTTACTTTCTGAAATTCTGATTGATAGTTTTCAAAATGATTAGTTTTTGCAAAGTGTCTTACGACAGTGGTAGAAAATATAACAAATTATGGGAAGAAAAATTCGTCTGTGTTAGTATAGCCCGTGATGGAAGTGAAAATGCTCCAGTTCCAAGGAAAATGTTGCAGATTTGAAAGTAACACCACACATGGTGGAGCTATTTAACTCTGCAATCACGTACGAGAAGGAAGAACCAGGGGACGGTGACGAACTGGACTCCACCATTATCATGCTCCACCACCATTTGAGTTTATGGTTAATCTTCACTGTAGATTACAGATATTATGTTTATGTAATTATTGGGCTCTGAATTATAAGTGAAAATTTTGTTTGATTGCGACATTTTAAGTGCATATTGTGGGGGAGATTTTTATTTTGTGTGGATTGCAAAAATATCTTTGTGCTTTCCATCCAAAAAGATTTGGCAGTGAAGCTTGTCGTACATGTGGCAACCCTGTTCCTATGCGGTATGTGTTAATTGTGGTTAATTTCATGTTCACGAAGATTTAATGTTAAATATTTTAAGTGTTTATTCGGACGTACTTCACAAGATTTGGTATATATTTTGGCTATAGAGACATACTGTAGATGTGTGTTCTTATTTTATTGCATTACAGTTGTACAAAGACTACATTACTTAATTTTTAGTTACAATATTATTCATTCGAGGACCGTGAAGACGAGTACACAAGACTGTTAGTTTCCGTTAACGGAACTGTTGTTGCACAAAATCGGAAACATTCTGCTATAACTTAAAGTAGGCCTACAGTACTGTAGCTGTCGTTGTGGTTTTAGTTTTGTTTAAGGATTTGTTCACCTTTAAAAAAAAAATAGTAATTGTTAACTTATTTTGAAATAATTACATATTTAAAGTATGCTTTGCTTGTAGGTTTTAAAAAGCCTTTATAGATACAGGGTATTCTTAAATATGTAGACAATCTTTACGATACGAAGAAGTTAGTTTTCACGTTGTCAAAATATTGATTTTTTGCAAAAATAAGCTTGACCTAAATCCCTTAGTCTCCAGCATTTGTAAGAAAGTAGTTTAAATTTCATACTAAGGTACTTTACACGATTTTAAATCTTGGTAATTGTGTTAATATGAGGGCAACTGGTGAACTCTTTTAATGCTGGCTGACTGGCTTTTCCTCTAGTCTTCCTACGCTGCCAGACATACCATGCAATGCCTGCCTCGGCCCCAGCTTGCTGGCACGGAGGGGTTCGAGACACTTGCAATATCACTTCCCGTCGGCCACCTCGCGCTCGGTGCGAGTGTACTGTATATAGGTTTTAAAAATACAATACTGGAAAAGGCAGGAACTGTACCAACAAATGGGGTATTTTTAGGGGGGAGGGGGTTCAGTTCAACTTAAATATAGTATTTTGCCAGTAATTTTGTGCTAAATTAATGCTGTACTGTATAATAGGTAAATGATTAAATTTGAACAGTAACTATTGTGTACCGATCATAGTTAATGTTAGTGATCAAATATTACAGGTTATACCTACTAATTGTGCTGCGAGGGTTGTTCTCTGAATTGTTGTTATACAAGTTGATTTGTTCTGATATAAGTGGATATTTGGACTTGATATAAGTATAATTTGTCTATAAAGGTTGACGGTTTAATGACTTATTTCAGATTTGAGTGGGAGGTGGATGACCTTTGTAGGGTATTTGACCTTGGCTGAAGCCTTTATATACAATATACAGGTGAGCATAAATTAAATTTACCATAGTTAAAAAGAAATAGTTTTATTGGTGAATACTGTGAGGTTCCCTCTGCTTTTAAGCCATTATTTACATCTTCGTCCAATTTGCCGTAAGTTTGTGATAATTTTGTTTGTTTTTCAGTAATATTAGGAACGTAACGTTTGTGCTTAGTAGACTACTGCTCGTCTCAGACTTGCTAGCTAGTCACCTACGCCTACGGCGCATTAGACGAAGGGTAATTTGCGATACATTTTTGGGGAAAAAAGAAAGTCTTGTACAAGGGCAAATTTTAATAATTTTTCTATAAATGTTGACGTTTTTATTTCAGAAGTGTGTGGGAGCATTCTTGGCTATTTGACATTGGCTGAAGTCTTATACAGGTGAGCATAACTATTGTTGTACAATGTTCCTGACTTGCATAACCTGTTGGAAGAGAATTATGAGCAAAATTTGTTGTATTCATAAGTTTCAAGAATGGATATTTAATTATTATAGAAAGAGTGGCTCATGTAAGGTTAGATTTTATACTACTACTGTGGTAAGGCTACATGAATAGTAGTTTAGGCAAAGTAATTATATCTAATGTAGAAGCCAAAGTGTGTATAGTTTAATATGTTACGATGTATTACAGTGTAGAAGAAGGAGGGGGGTCCACGACGTTGTTGCTGTCACTTACTCGAATCAGTTATCTCTGGGACTCGCTAAGACTAGTTGTCAAATTTTTGTACTTCGGCCGTGGAAAGTGGTTGGTCACCGCCAAACTATTTGGCCGAATTTTGTGTTAATACCTCATCTAGTGGATTTTGAAGACATGTCTAACAGATTTTCAAATTTCTCAATTGAAACGTGTCCAGCATATGGGTTAAGCTTTATAGCAGTGGTTCTCAACCTTGTTTGCTCCATGCACTCTTTTCACCATATGTCAGAATGTCATTCCCCCCTCCTTTCCAAGATTGTCTGCCTCAAAAATTGCATTCCAAATAATATGCATATAATACTGAAAATCCTTTATTATTTCCATATTAGTATCAGTTTTCCCCCGTCTCTGAAAACCTGAGGGGGGAAATTCACCCTGGTTGAGAACCCCTGCTTTATAGTTTACAAAGCCATCTGAGTTACTTTCTGAAATTCTGATTGATAGTTTTCAAAATGATTAGTTTTTGCAAAGTGTCTTACGACAGTGGTAGAAAATATAACAAATTATGGGAAGAAAAATTCGTCTGTGTTAGTATAGCCAGTGATGGAAGTGAAAATGTTCCAGTTCCAAGGAAAATGTTGCAGATTTGAAAGTAACACCACACATGGTGGAGCTATTTAACTCTGCAATCACGTACGAGAAGGAAGAACCAGGGGACGGTGACGAACTGGACTCCACCATTATCATGCTCCACCACCATTTGAGTTTATGGTAAATCTTCACTGTAGATTACAGATATTATGTTTATGTAATTATTGGGCTCTGAATTATAAGTGAAAATTTTGTTTGATTGCGACATTTTAAGTGCATATTGTGGGGGATATTTTTATTTTGTGTGGATTGCAAAAATATCTTGGTGCTTTCCATCCAAAAAGATTTGGCCGTGAAGCTTGTCGTACATGTGGCAACCCTGTTCCTATGCGGTATGTGTTAATTGTGGTTAATTTCATGTTCACGAAGATTTAATGTTAAATATGTTAAGTGTTTATTCGGACGTACTTCACAAGATTTGGTATATATTTTGGCTATAGAGACGTACTGTAGATGTGTGTTCTTATTTTATTGCATTACAGTTGTACAAAGACTACATTACTTAATTTTTAGTTACAATATTATTCATTCGAGGACCGTGAAGACGAGTACACAAGACTGTTAGTTTCCGTTAACGGAACTGTTGTTGCACAAAATCGGAAACATTCTGCTATAACTTATAGTAGGCCTACAGTACTGTAGCTGTCGTTGTGGTTTTAGTTTTGTTTAAGGATTTGTTCACCTTTAAAAAAAAAATAGAGTAATTGTTAACTTATTTTGAAATAATTACATATTTAAAGTATGCTTTGCTTGTAGGTTTTAAAAAGCCTTTATAGATACAGGGTATTCTTAAATATGTAGACCATCTTTACGATACGAAGAAGTTAGTTTTCACGTTGTCAAAATATTGATTTTTCCAAAAATAAGCTTGACCTAAATCCCTTAGTCTCCAGCATTTGTAAGAAAGTAGTTTAAATTTCATACTAAGGTACTTTACACGATTTTTAATCTTGGTAATTGTGTTAATATGAGGGCAACTGGTGAACTCTTTTAATGCTGGCTGACTGGCTTTTCCTCTAGTCTTCCTACGCTGCCAGACATACCATGCAATGCCTGCCTCGGCCCCAGCTTGCTGGCACGGAGGGGTTCCAGACACTTCCCGTCGGCCACCTCGCGCTGCGAGTGTATATACGTTTTAAAAATACAATACTGGAAAAGGCAGGAACTGTACCAACAAATGGGGTATTTTTAGGGGGGAGGGGGTTCAGTTCAACTTAAATATAGTATTTTGCCAGTAATTTTGTGCTAAATTAATGCTGTACTGTATAATAGGTAAATGATTAAATTTGAACAGTAACTATTGTGTACCGATCATAGTTAATGTTAGTGATCAAATATTACAGGTTATACCTACTAATTGTGCTGTGAGGGTTGTTCTCTGAATTGTTGTTATACAAGTTGATTTGTTCTGATATAAGTGGATATTTGGACTTGATATAAGTATAATTGGTCTATAAAGGTTGACGGTTTAATGACTTATTTCAGATTTGAGTGGGAGGTGGATGACCTTTGTAGGGTATTTGACCTTGGCTGAAGCCTTTATATACAATATACAGGTGAGCATAAATTAAATTTACCATAGTTAAAAAGAAATAGTTTTATTGGTGAATACTGTGAGGTTCCCTCTGCTTTTAAGCCATTATTTACATCTTCGTCCAATTTGCCGTAAGTTTGTGATAATTTTGTTTGTTTTTCAGTAATATTAGGAACGTAATGTTTGTGCTTAGTAGACTACTGCTCGTCTCAGACTTGCTAGCTAGTCACCTACGCCTACGGCGCATTAGACGAAGGGTAATTTGCGATACATTTTTGGGGAAAAAAGAAAGTCTTGTACAAGGGTAAATTTTAATAATTTTTCTATAAATGTTGACGTTTTTATTTTTTATTTCAGAAGTGTGTGGGAGGTGGAAGAGCATTCTTGGCTATTTGACATTGGCTGAAGTCTTATAAAGGTGAGCATAACTATTGTTGTACAATGTTCCTGACTTGCATAACCTGTTGGAAGAGAATTATGAGCAAAATTTGTTGTATTCATAAGTTTCAAGAATGGATATTTAATTATTATAGAAAGAGTGGCTCATGTAAGGTTAGATTTTATACTACTACTGTGGTAAGGCTACATGAATAGTAGTTTAGGCAAAGTAATTATATCTAATGTAGAAGCCAAAGTGTGTATAGTTTAATATGTTACGATGTATTACAGTGAAGAAGAAGAAGGAGAAGGAGGGGGGTCCACGACGTTGTTGCTGTCACTTACTCGAATCAGTTATCTCTGGGACTCGCTAAGACTAGTTGTCAAATTTTTCTACTTCGGCCGTGGAAAGTGGTTGGTGGCCAGACAGAAACTATTTGGCCAGGTATTATTTAATACCTCGTAGTGGATTTTGAAGACATGTCCTAACAGATTTTCAATTTCTCCAATTAAGCGTGTCCAGCATATGGGTTAAGCTTTATAGCAGTGGTTCTCAACCTTGTTTGCCTCATGCACCCTTTTCACCATATGTCAGAATGTCATTCCCCCCTCCTTTCCAAGATTGTCTGCCTCAAAAAGTGCATTCCAAATAATATGCATATAATACTGAAAATCCTTTATTTTTTCCATATTAGTATCGGTTTTCCCCCCCCTGGTTGAGAACCCCTGCTTTATAGTTTACAAAGCCATCTGAGTTACTTTCTGAAATTCTGATTGATAGTTTTCAAAATGTCATTAGTTTTTGCAAAGTGTCTTACGACAGTGGTAGAAAATATAACAAATTATGGGAAGAAAAATTCGTCTGTGTTAGTATAGCCAGTGATGGAAGTGAAAATGCTCCAGTTCCAAGGAAAATGTTGCAGAGATTTGAAAGTATCACCACACATGGTGGAGCTATTTAACTCTGCAATCATGTACGAGAAGGAAGAACCAGGGGACGGTGACGAACTGGACTCCACCATTATCATGCTCCACCACCATTTGAGTTTACGGTAAGTCTTCACTGTGGATTACAGATATTATGTTTATGTAATTATTGGGCTCTGAATTATAAGTGAAAATTTTGTTTTGTTGCGACATTTTAAGTGCATATTGTGGGGGAGATTTTTATTTTGTGTGGATTGCAAAAATAGCTTTGTGCTTTCCATCCAAAAAGATTTGGCCATGAAGCTTGTCGTACATGTGGCAACCGTGTTCCTATGCGGTATGTGTTAATTGTGGTTAATTTCATGTTCACGAAGATTTAATGTTAAATATTTTAAGTGTTTATTCGGACGTACTTCACAAGATTTGGTATATATTTTGGCTATAAAGGCATTACTGTAGATGTGTGTTCTTATTTTGTGCATTACAGTTGGCTAAAGACTACATTGTAATTTTTAGTTACAATATTATTCATTCGAGGACCGTGAAGACGAGTACACAAGACTGTTAGTTTCCGTTAACGGAACTGTTGTTGCACAAAATCGGAAACATTCTGCTATAACTTATAGTAGGCCTACAGTACTGTAGCTGTCGTTGTGGTTTTAGTTTTGTTTAAGGATTTGTTCACCTTTAAAAAAAAAATAGAGTAATTGTTAACTTATTTTGAAATAATTACATATTTAAAGTATGCTTTGCTTGTAGGTTTTAAAAAGCCTTTATAGATACAGGGTATTCTTAAATATGTAGACCATCTTTACGATACGAAGAAGTTAGTTTTCACGTTGTCAAAATATTGATTTTTCCAAAAATAAGCTTGACCTAAATCCCTTAGTCTCCAGGATTTGTAAGAAAGTAGTTTAAATTTCATACTAAGGTACTTTACACGATTTTAAAT